TCCGATATATTTTACAGTGAATAACTGTTGATATGCCATGGGTGAAAAGAGACATCTAGAAACTAATGGACAGTCAAATAAGTTTGCACTAAATGTTCGTGATAAATATCGATCACTTATATGACAATTGTGTGAATTTTATTGGAGTGGTTGTTAACGATTTTTGACGTTTTTTGCTATGTCTAGCGTGTATACAGGCATGTACAAACTATTGGACAGTCGTTTAAGTTTGCACTATAGGAAAACTCAATAACAAATTATTGTTCTTGGGATGAACACTGCTCGCAATAATATATATCTTAAATAGTCATCGTTAGAATAGCTTCCCACGATTTTTGACGGTTGTAGATTGAAAACTGATGTATCCCAATCATAACTCGTATAAATTTGCATTTCAAGAAATCAAACAGCAAATATTTGTTACTGTCATAGTTTTCAGGATGAATTTTGCTCCGAATAAATTACATCTTATATGATTGTTCTGCCTACATTATTGAAATAATTTTCAACGATGTTAGCATATAGTAGTTTCCATTTAACACCAGCAAAAAAAAAAACTTTCTCTTAAGTAGGTATATTCTTCCCAAAATTAAGTTTAATTCACGCCCGCATAAACATTTACCATATGAAGCACCAAACCACCAATTCGGGATATCATCCCAGCTTTATGTGGTATGGTGGAACCATCTATGATATCGTTAGTGTATGGTACCCGTTTTTAGGGCGTAAATTTGAGAATATCCAATTTACTCAAAAGTAGCTTATTGGGCTGAATTATATCGTTGGGTTGAATCTCTCGTTAATTTTCTATTAATTCTGGCACCACTTCCATGACTGTTTACATTAGATTTTTATGTTTAATAAATAAAAAAGAAAAGTAGAAGTGCTTTTCGAAAAAGTTCAAGCTTCTTCCAGACAGTTTTGGATAATTCGTTTAATTTAAGGGAATTGTCCAGATGTTCAGAAATATTTGCAGAAAGGATTTGGAGTCCATCCAGTCCATCATTCTGAGAAATTCATGGATGTTCTGAAATCTTATTTTACATTTTTTTTACGTAGGATTACGTCTTTCGGCAACATATTGGGGGTGCAATTTCAAAAAACCAAAATCGACCGCATTACGAAAAGAGGTCAGGTTTTGACCACATATAACCACAAACGAAGTGACAGACGACTAACTGGCGAAGAAATCTATTAAAATAATGTGGTTCACTGTAATAGAATTTTCTTGGAAGCTTGTGCCATCATCCACCAGATGGGTTAGTTTTTTTGTTTTCATTTGAACAAAGTTGATTTAGTGTATAATGATTCTTTGACAGTGTGCAAAGATAGTGTGTCATTTTGTCATCTTTTTATGCATTTCAGTTTTGAGTAGAGTGAAAGAGATAGAAACAAAACATTCTAATACATTTGGTGAAAATGCTAGTACAATCTAAAGAGCCTAAATTTATAAAGAGGCGACATGTCAAAATTGGAACAATCGATTGTCTGTCAAAGTCATAGGAAAAGTCATTCCAATCGAGCAGAAGACCTTTCAAATGGATAAGATGTCGTCTCTTTATAAATTCAGGCTCTTTAGTACAATCCAGTTGTAGTGTTGCCATGTGGTACAATCCAGTAGTAGTGGTGGTGTTGCCATGTGGTACACTGAAAAATTGAAATAGCAGGTTAGTCACCAAAGTTTTCGAGCCGCTCCGTCTGTGACTTCGTTTGTAATATAACTCTGTCAATAGCAGATGGATTTTAATTCTAAACAAGCCAATCGATTGGAAATGTATCTACCAATCTGCTTAAATGAACACTTTATTAATTTTAAATAGGTCACTTTTGAAAAATACACAAATGTCCAACTGTTGCAATGGTGATTAAAATTATCACCGATTGCCTGCAAAAAGCGATTTCCCTAACACAGATTTCAAAATCGAATTCGATCCTGTCTCACTGAACGGTGCTCATTAGACTGATGCTCAAACGGTGCCAAATATGGTCCTGATTAGCCTCCAAAAGTGAAAACTCATTTTATAAGAAACTGACTTGGCACAAACCATTAAACTTCAAATGGTTTGTGCCAAGTCAGTTTCTTATAAAATGAGTTTTCACTTGGGAATTACTATGGGAAAAAAAAAACTTTTTGTTCATTGTCTTCTAGCCTTTTTACATATTGTACTGTTAACAAATTTTCTAGCTATTCTTATGGGAATTTTTATCAGCTACAACTTTGCAGAAAATCATTTTTCAGCCAAACGTCAAATTAAATAGTTATTAATTTTTTAAGAGATTGATAATCTTATGGCAAGATTAAGCAACTGTATTGTGAGCAACACTGTATTCTGCAGTGTGACATAGTAGCCATGATTTTTGTCCTCTATTCTACGCGCCATAAACACCAATGTTGCCTGTTGAACAGTTGATTGAGCATAATCATAAGACATCAGTGACTTGAATCATTAATAATTTTTGTTCCTTACATTTGATCGAAAAGTGATTTTGTACAATGTTGTAGCTGAGAAAATTTTCAACAAGCTCAGCTATCATTTTCTTAAGTAGAGTGAACTGGTGAATTTTGAGATAGATATGAACTGAAATTATGGTTTCTCCATAGTAAATGGTTTGTGCCTAGTCAAATTTTGGGAGGCTAATCAGGGACCAATTTGGAACCATTTGAGCACTGTGGAGCGAAAATTTCAAATTTTGCATCAGTCTCTTGCTCATTCAATCACCGTGTGTGGTGGTGTCCGGTCGTCGGTGTCAGCAGCAGCAGCAGTGCTTTCAGCGTGTGGCGTTGAACATTGTTCTCTAGTACACAATGAAAGGCAGCCTGCAAGCAGTGAGCTGCAGAGCCCACATGCCCACATCCATAGAAGGAGGAATAAGCCGCATGGATCGGAACAGTTTCTTTGTGAGTCACTGCGGGTCATCTATGCCAAGCGCGTCACCCTTGCTCCAAACAACATACAGCTCGCCAGCCTCATCCGTGTTGAACCTCGTGTTGACCACCCTAATAGCTCAGCACTACTCAACCATCACGACAAAACGGTCGTTCTCAGGACCACCATAAATTTGTTAAAGATAATATTTTGGATATTTGTAAAGGTCATCAATCGGATGTCAGTTCCCGCAAGCAGCTAACTATCAAGGCTCAACCTGGTCTATAGAATGTGTGAAATCGTAGGCCTGAATGTATTGGTGCAATTAGTTTTTCTCTCGGCTTTCAATCCGCTTCGCACGATTCGTTTCTTTCGTTTACTCAATCACGTCATAGCATTTGTCTCGATCGGCATAGGAAATTTAATATGAATTATAGAATTTCTGTATGTTACCAAAATTTATTAATGATCTTCCACTAAATGTTGAGATAATTAAATAATCATATCGTCCGTGCGTTTTGTGCACGTAAATGCGTAACTTTGTCATCAGAAAACGAGGCGTTTCCGTGATGGGAAAAGTGGTTTCCCTAACACAGTCACCGAGTCTAGATACCAAGCACTGAGCATGCCAGACGCCTTTATGCCTTTTGGTGCAAATTTTAAGCCCCTCCTATTAAAAGCATTATGCAAAAAAAAAAAACCTTGCCGAATTCTTTTTATAGAAGGGGGCAAGGAAGGGGCTTAAAATTGGCATCAACAAGTATAAACGTAGGTACCATCCGGTAGGCTCAGATTCTGTGATTGATGTGTTTTCCCTAATAGGGAATATGGATCTAATATTGGGCCCATCGCTAAAAATCGGCTATTTCTTAATTTTATCTAGATGAACGCGTCATTGGGACGGTACTAAAGGATATTTTTGGTCGCCATTGAAAATTTAGTCGATATCTGAATTTATGTACACAGAAAAAAAAAAGTTGTTGAATTTTACATTCAAACTGCTGAAACCAGGTCAATCCATCGGTTGTGTAATATAACGTTGTACGATGTACATCGATTTTGTGAACAAAATCACATCCATTGATATAATATTGTATCTGCTTTTTGCTATTACATCATTATTTCATACATCAGCTTGAATTACATTGATCTATATTACATTTTTTTGCTATGTATGGGCCCAAATTAGGGGCATTTAGACCGACATTACATCCATTTCTCTTACATATTTAATTTCCACACCGTTATCATTTCCAAAAACGTCGAGGAAAAAATTCCACAGTATTGTTCTTAACTTGCTTCCAACCCATCGGTCCTTTTCAGGACCACAAATGACTAATAAAAGAGTAAACTAAAGAGTAAGAGCTTGAATCCAAGACATATCGTCCAGGATTGGCTTGTACTAAATGAACATCGACAGTGCACCTCAAAAACAGAACTCTCAAATTGCTTTCAACCTATCTAAATTTTTCACTGATATTGAGTTAAGAAATCAATTTAATATTTGCTATACTTTTGCTGTGACACCATAACTACCTTCCGTAATCCTACGTCAAATCTACGGTCGTGTCTTGGATACAACCTCTTACTTTTTAACATCGTTAAGCAAAATAACCATATAAGGGATATTCAACATCGTGGACTGGTATCAACGGCTTTATTTCCCTTCCGAAGGAAGACGTGACCAGAGATTTTATCACCTCAGAAGAATCCCAACATCTTCGGCTGGGTTTGAACCAGATACACTGCATGGTGTGGTGAGGTATTGGAGATAATTCTTAAATTTTTGTATATTTCGTACCAAGGTGACTACATATAGGTGTTCTAATGTGTCAAATTCATGATTCAGCCATGTTTGATTTTTGTATGGGACAGCGACCGAGTTTGTTTACAATTTGCTCTAGAACCGTACTCTACCCCCCCCCCCCCCCCCCGCCCCCGCGACCTCCTCGCCTATATAGTGACAAAGCTGTATCACCATTTATATACCCACCATGTTTCGAACATTGAAATACAAAAACTTTTTATGTGCGGTGTAACCAATGCAGGTGTAGCAGACAAGGGCCACTGCTAGCACATCTGGGATGCTTTTTCCAACACCTCGACTGAGTGACAGTTCAACTTGAAGTGAGGTTATTTTGATTTGAAAAATGAAAACATTGTATAACCGGAATGCATGATGTTTTTCTTGTAAGTGATTATCGTTGAATATTTCTAATATTTAGGGGAGTTTTAACACATTTTGCGATGCTGGCACATCGATCCACACGGGGTATGTATTTTAGAATAATTGCTTTGTGATATTTCATTAAATAACCGATGGTTTCACACGATTAAACAGCCCTCTCGTGCCTGGTGCGAGGATTCTCCAACATTTCGCTCCGTGAAACAACGAAAGCAGGTGGTGTTATCCCTTTGACGGCCGTATCTAACCGTCCGGAACCAGTGAAAGGACCCGCTCGGATAATCTTCCTTCCGCGTGAAATTTCCCTAGATATCGGCCACGCTCACATCAATCCATTGTTGCCGCGAAAGGAGATAATCGATTTTCCGCTGATCAGCCGCATCATCGAGAACCCCAATCAGTCTCGCATTTCCGAAATTAGTGATTTGTGGAGACCGGTTCCGGCGATGGATCTCCCCACAAGCAGTAATAAAGTGGACGACATTCAGGCTGCCCGCTTGATTGTGATCCGCCGGCGAAAGATGCGAAAGCACAAACTGAGAAAGCTCCGCAAGAAGATGAAATACGACTGGGCGAAGGTTTGTTTCGCTTGAACGTTTGAGATTTGAGTTGGCCTAATTTTCTATCATTGTAGGTTCGTCAACGTCGTGAATTGCGCAAAGAGAAAGCCTTCCAAGCGGGGCTGATTAGCGAGATCAAAGAGGCGGACAGATTTTCGGCGGAAATGTACGTGATGGAGAAACTGCGACAGGCCAACGAAAAGCCGATACCACGTTTCTGGAAGGGCAAACGGTTGCCGCAATTTATTATTAAGCAGAAGCTGGGAATGGAGTAGGGTAATATGGCTGCTATAGGACAATTCCCTGAATAAAATTGTTAAACACAGTCTGCGTCTTTTTTTAGTATGGACCTGCGTAGTAATTTATTTAAAAAAAAATCATAGAATAATGAATTGAATAGTTCAATGACTGTTAGTTATCCATTCTAATGTGCGCTAGCTACAAACGATACAAGCGTGCAATAATCTTTTCAATCATGAGATAAATGAGTTTTTCGAATTTGCACCACTATTATAATACAATCTTATCACGTTTGTCACGGGTAATCATTGTTGACAAGAGCTCACATCAACTTGAATGAAACTGATTTCGTTCGTCTCATTTGCCATGGTAAATTCATAGTCAGTTCTTTTTCGCGTCTCATTCACCCGAGAGTTTTTTTTGAGCTCGCTAGCTAAAAATAGTGCCGAAAGTGTTATGATGAAGCAGCAAAAGTTTATCGTCCTAGGTGCCGGCATAAACGGACTGTCATGTGCATTCCGTCTCTCAGAGCGCTATCCAGAAGCTCTAATAGAAATAATTAGTGAACGGTTCAGTCCCAACACTACCAGCGATGTTGCCGCAGGGCTCTGGGAACCTTATCTAAGCGGAGACACTTCGCAGAAGCTGCTCAGGTGAGCTTGATCTACACGGTGCAGTTCAAATGTCTAGATAACATAATCATCTTTTTGTTGTAGAAAATGGTCCCGGGACACGTATGAATATTTTCATCAATTGTGGAAAAGTGGACGCGCCGATGAATGTGGCATCTCTTTGATACCGCTCATATCGTGTTCTGGGAGTGCCGAGCCGGATGACATCTTTTGGAAGGATTTCGTTTTTAGCTTCCGGGAATTGACCCATCAACGACTAGAGCAGTTGGGACGTGAACATGGAGAAGAGTACAGGTAATGATTAGGGATAGTAGAAATTTAGGATGCCGCAAATTCCGCGAAACTACCTGTATTCTGCGAAATTGGCTAAAAATGACGAAAGTCAATCAAGATATTTTTTGTTTGTAGCTAAATTCAAGGCAATGTTTTTTTTTATGGTGAAGTATATTGAGTCAGGTATGAGCTATTGTATGCAAAAAAAGTAGAAGGGTATGTGCCTAGGGGCACGAATGGAAGCTTGACGTAGGACCGCTAGTGGACGGAACAAATGTGAACATTTAGTTCTTTTAATTGATCAATCATCAATTATCTTAACTCTTTCCGTTTTTTATTTGTAAGTTTATCAAATTTGTAGTATTTATTTCAAAGAAAAAGTTAATGAAGAGAATCCAAGGGACCGTCAACTTTAGTATTTTCGATTCATCTACCCGACTTTAAAATGTGTATTTTGATTTTTTTGTTATATATGAATTTTTAAGTTTTGTGCATTTTGGTATTAAAGTGTATTCAATTCACCCCTCACAGGATTTCCTTCACGCTCGTCTGATTTTACTCTAAAGTGAGTAACTTTGACTCAATTTCGTATTTGTATGCTAAATGTCAAAAACTGAGTAACATTAATTTAACAAAGTGAGTAACATTTACTCTAATTAAATAAATATGGATCTTTACTGTTTTGAGTAAGATCAAATGTAATAAACGTCCGAAAATTTTGAAGTCCTGGGCTGAAAGCAATTTTCCCGAGAAATTCCCACAAAGCGTTCAAAGAGTGAAAGTTTCAGCGTTCTGTGAAACTTGTTTGGACTAGTAACTAGCGTGAGTAGCAGTTGGTGTTTTTTCCTTAGATAAACTTTATTTCAGCCCAAATTTACACAGGTTACGTGAACTTCTGCAACAACTTTTGGTTGTGAACTTCAGAATCCCAAGCTCGATCCAAAGGAAAGTTCACTATGAGAGAATTACAAGTAAGCTTTATGAGAAAATCGGGAAATAGCAATATATTCAAAAAGAAAATAATTTTCAGAAAAAAAATGCTGAGAAACTGATCCGTAAGTTGTGCCATGGAAGCCGCTCAGTCCATTTCGAGATGTTCAATATGTTACATCCCTGGTTACTTCTCGGAATGAAAATAGCACCTGGAGATGATAGCTGCAGTGGCCTTCGGAATCGCTTAATAAGCAGAATTATTATCAATTTGTTAATTAGAGTTTATAATTCTATTGTGATAAAATAAATCATTTTTATTATGCTTCAAAAAAAAATTCGATCAAATAATTTCCTGTCAAAATATAATATTTACAAAACTGAGTAACCTTTACTCAGTTGTGCTAATATTGCGAAAACCGAAACTGAGTAAGTGCTACTCAGATTTTGACAGATTCATACATTACTCAAAAGTGAGTAAACATGGGGTTACTCACTTTAGAGTAGTTCCACTTTTAACGAAAGTGAGTGGAATTTTACTCACTTTAGAGTAAATTTGAACGAGCGTGTTCCGAATTATATGAATCACAAACGAAGTGACAGACGGAGCGGCTCGAAAACTTTGGTGACTACCCGCATAAACGCGAACCATAAATTGACCTTACCTAAAATGGTTAAAAATGGTTTATAATCCCTGCTAAACTTTAACTGAAATGGTTATGGAACTTTACATGAACGTTTAATGATAAAGTTTCAACCTTATGTATTATGGTTTTTTGGAACTGGACCTTACAAATAATGGGTTGTTAAGAACCATTACCATTCCAAATTCTTGTTTTCTCCATACATTTTCAGAAAGAGAACTACATAAGTACGTTTTTACTTATGATTTGAGAACATTAATGGTAATGGTTATGGTAGTCAGTAAGGTCCACGAATGGTTTTGTAACATCGATTAAGGGCACCACAGTGGAAATCTCGAGCCATAGTTCAAACATTTCTCCCAAATCAAAATGAAGCACATATAAGATTAGTTGCAATACCATGTACAAAAAAGGTGTTTAACATTGTTCCCTGAGTAATACCTCAATGAAAACAACAACGAAAGCTTGTCACGCAAGTAGAAGGAGCACTGATGGGTACTTTCTGAAATATTTCAATAGTATAATTCCCTTGCAAACCCAAATAATTTATCTGCGTAAAAAAATAAGAGTGATTTGCGGCAAAACCCGCCAGTATCGCACCCAACGTCAATGCCTATACGTAAGCGTACTACAACGCGGCTTTCAAATAAAGGAGTAACAAGTGTGATACCACAGACAAACAGACATAACACTCGCAAGATGTTCATCGAACAAGCATTTATCGGTCAATTTAAAAGTATCTTAGTTGGTAGTACCGCCACCTGTGGCGCGCATAGTCAATTCCCTTGCGTTTGACGTTTCCACACTACCGCCATCTGTTCAGCGTACTACCCACCACAGTGTACTCAACAGATGGCGGTAATGTTTTAACGACGATGTTTTACAGTGAGAAATATTCAATGTGTTATGTCTGTTTGTCTGTGGTGATACTATCACTTCAGGCTAGAACTTTGGTTCTCTTATGCAATGGTGCATCAGAGAGGGGAAGCTCAGTAATCCTCATCGCATGCTCATGACGCTATTCTGTCACGGCATGAGCCAACGATGCCGGACCTAAGCCAACCGTCTCCAACGCTCCACTATGAAGCATAAGATTAGGCCCGCCCACCAACGTCCAGGTTAAAAAACTAGCCAAGGGGAGGGTTATACACAAAATCAACTTTGTTCAAATCAAAACAAAAAAACTAACCCATCTGGTAGTGGATGATGGCACAAGCTTCCAAGAAAATTCTATTACAGTGAACCACATTATTTTAATGGATTTCTTCGCCAGTTTGTCGTCTGTCACTTCGTTTGTGATATGAATGGAGCGGGGCGGAAAGTATCGTTTGTGCTGAATATGTAAAAAAGGAGGGACTTCGAGAGATTGAACTCGTGAGAGCTAATTTTCTCACAAATTTGATTTTATTGGCTTTCTGGGGACTGAATATACACCCAAAGCGAATTATTCCCACTTCTCTCAAATTCTATATGGATTTTTAACACTTCCTACCAGCGTGTTCTGGAAAATGGTCGGACGATGATTAATCTCACCAATACATTCGGGCCTACAATTCCACACCTTCTATAGGCCTTTTTAATAGAAACTAAACGATCGATTCAACCTCTGGTGGTGAATAGGAGAACGTCAAAAAGAGTGTTGTGAGCATAAATTTTTGCCTTGAGACATAGGAAGCGGAACACTTTTTTACTTTTCCTGATAAATTGATTCATCTGAGATGCTGCAAAACTTAATCTACAGTTGAAAAATTTAATTCTGTAACGTTTTGGAAAAGATCCTGCTGGTGTTCACGAATATTTTTGTTGAGAAAAATGAAAAATTAGAAAAGTGCCTTAGTGGTTATGATCTTCCGGATTTCTTGTGTGTGAATAGTTAAGGTGCAAATCAGTTCAGATTTGTGGAAAATCGTACAATAAGACAATTACCGATGGAAATTGGCAAGATTTTGAATGAAAAATGCTGTTATTTGCGTTGGGGAAAATACTTATTCTGATGTAAACAAACGGTTTGGTTGACGTTTCTTCTCGAACTCGCGTGGCGCACTCTACGTTGGTGGTACATTGAAAAGGCGTATAGAGACCGGGTTGAGCTACCTGCTTGCGAAAACTGATGACCTTGACAAATGTCCAAATAATACTCTTAAAAAAATTTATGGTGGTCCTGAAAAAGACCGTTTTCTAGTGATGGTTGAGTAATGCTGAGCTGAGCAAGACGAGCTACTGATTCTGATCCTAGCCTAGCGGTGGGACTTCTTCCTCCTTCTCTATGGTTGCTCATATGAGCTCTGCAGCTCGCTGCTTGCAAGCAGCTTTTCGTTGTTGTTGTTGTTGAAAGCACTCCTGCTGCTGCTGCTGCTGCTACAACTGCTGCTGCTAGACTGGACACCACCACTTACGGAGATTGAATGAGCACCGTTCAGTGGGACTGCATCGAATTCGACTTTTAAGTCTGTGTTAGGGAATGTGCTGTTTTCAGACATTCGGTGATAATTTTGATCACCATTGCAACAGTTGAACATTTGGTATTTTTCAAAAGTGACCTATTGAAAATTAACTAAGTGTTCATTTTAGCAGATTGGTAGATAAATTTTAAATCGTTTGGCTTGTTTAGAATTGAAATCTATCTGCTATTGGTCGAAACCTGACCTCTTTTCGTAATGCTGTGCATTTTGGTTTTTTGAAATTGCGTGGATTCTATAGATCCTGTGGAGATCTATCTAGCCCTGATGTATGTGTTGGTAGAGTGAAAAATGTAAACTTTGCGGGAGACGATGGCTTAACACTCGAAAGCAATTTTGTGAAATATGAAGTAAAACAAATCCTAGCTAGTTCTGCATGATGATTTTGTTTGATTTTATTTATTTGTAAAGTCGCCAGGAAATACCAGCTGGCGATTTGTTTTTTATGATAACTCCTTACTTGAAAACAGGCAAAAACTCACAAACAGGCTGCTTTTTCATGGTATACAGTGTGATAATTCAATAATCAATAAATTATCTCAACATTTAGTGGCAAACCATTCATAAATTTTGGTAACACACAAAAGTTCTATAATCCACATTAAATTTCATATGTAAGCGCCGATTGAAGCAATCTTTTCGACGTCACTACAAGGGTGATTGATTAAACGAAAGAAACGAATCGTGCGGAATGAAAGCCGAGGAAAAACTAATTGCACCAATATATTTAGGCCTTCAATTCCACACCTTCTATAGACAGGTTGAGCCTTGATAGCTAGCTGCTTGCGGGAACTGATGACCTTGACCAATGTCCAAATAATACTATTTAACAAATTTTTGGTGTACCTGAAAAGGACCGTTTTGTAGTGATGGCTGAGTAATTCTGAGCTGGGTGTTCAACACGGATGTGGCTGTCGAGCTGTATGTCGTTTGGAGCGAGGGTGACACGCTTGGCATAGATGACCGACCCGCAGAGACTCACGAAGAGCTACTGATTCCGATCCATAGCTTAGCGGTGCAGCTTCTTGCTCCTTTGATGGTTGCTTAAGTGGGCTCTGCAGCTCGCTGCTTGCAGGCAGCCTTTCGTTGTTAAAATTTTCAACGCCACACGCCGAAAGCACTGCTACTCCTGCTTCTAATTTCGACGACCGAACACCACCACACAGTGGTGTGGTCGTTGCCCAGACAACCAGAATGTACGTATATTTAAAGTTGTTTCTGTGATATACAAATATATATACAAACAAACAAATCATATAGAATGCAAAAAAAAGGCCTATACCTACAAAAGTGGAGGCCATATACGTGCAAATTTTAATTTCTTTTTAAACGAGTTGATTTGACATTATATACGATTCAATCTGTAATAACAAATTCAATTTGAAAATTTAATTTGTGATACAGCACGATGAAAAAAATATTCGTCGTACATAAGTCGGAAATTTGCATTCTATACGATTTAACTTAAACATAATGCGATGTATGTCATACTTATATGCGATGTTGACTTAAACTGTAGTTATTTACGATACTTTCTGTACATTGTTATACGACTTCTGGTTGTCTGGGTGGGAGCGTGTGGTTCTGAGTATGGCGATGAGTGTGCATAATATTACGGAATTCCATACTCCCTATTCGCACGCACCAGAGGATCGAAGGCGAATGCCACTTCGACTTGTTTCGTCTACTTACTACTCTCTGACGACTGTGCTGGGGGAGCAGCATATACATGTAGGTAATTGGTGGATTTGCTAGTTAATTCGACGCTTTTGGACAATGCTGGACACTTACCAGTTTTTCAATAGTTTCTTGTTAAAAATCAACATTCGGAAGCATGCGTAGCCATATTTCTGATCGATTGGTGATAAAATTATTGAAATTGAACCAAGGACAGCTGAGTTATTAACGTTCAAAATCTTTCTTAATTTGTTACATGTTCCATTTTCGGTTTTCACAAAGTGTACCCCCATATAGAAATCAAATTACGTAGTCCTACGTAAAAAAAAAACTTACGTTGTCAGTACCTTGGATCAATTTGACTCCAAATTCAAATTGTCATATCTCAGCGAAGGTTCAACGGATTTTTGAAATTTCAAATGCTTTGTAAAGTAAATTAAATGTGCGTACAGTTCAAAGTTTATTTTAGAAGGTGGATCTCTCATAGGGAGGGGTCATTGTAAAAATATACCCTTGAAGTGGCATATTTTGATGATAGAGTTGCTTATATCACGATATCCCAACCAAATGGGATGTTGCTTCCTTCTACAAAAATATTCAAGAGTACAAAGTCTTAAAAACTATGGATAGTGCATGAAATAATTGACTCACTAGATGCCGCAAAAAAAAAAACAAAATGTTCATGTTCCGCCATCTTATATACACATTATATAACGCTATCTACAGATCCTATGATGATGAATGGTTCCCGTCTTCATTACCTTTATTCAAATGGACAAGACCTTTCCTAAGGTAAAAAGTTTAGTTCAGAATGCACTCACCAGGCAGCGCTGATGTTCATTTTGAATTATTTGCCATAACTTAACACCTTGACTAGATAGAAGGTTCCGTACTCTGTAAAGTTCTTCAGATGGATAAGACCTATATTATGATAGAGAGTTCAACTCAGAATTAACTCACCAGGCAGCGCTGGTGTGACATTCATGTTTCATTGTTTGCCCTAATTTAACATATGGACTAGATAGAAGGTTTCCGTCTTCGGTAAATTTGGTCAGATGGACAAGACCTATCATAAACTAAGGCTAAAGCCTTGATGTCCTCGCTGTCCGAAGAAATCGTCTCCACTCTACTCGATCCATGGCCACACGTCGCCAGCCTCGTAGTCTGCGAAGGGTCCGCAGGTTGCTTTCTACTTGTTCGATCCACTCTGCCCGCTGCGCGCCTCTTCTTGTTCCTGTTGGGTCCGTTCATAATCACCTCCACGAGCATAGTCCAGGTCTCGTGGCCGTAGAGGATCACCGGTCTAATCAACGTCTTGTAGGTAGTCAACTTCGTGCGGCGGCGGCTTTTATTCGACAGGAGCGTCCTCCGGAGTTTAAAGTAGGCGCGATTCCCTGCCATAATGCGTCTTTGAATTTCTCTACTGGTATCATTTTGAGCGCTCACCAGTGAGCAGAAATACACGAACTCGTCGCCGTCAATCTGAACTCGGGGTGGGAGGTTAACATTCCCAAGTAACATTTTAAGTTTTATGAAATACTACAAAGCAACTATAAAACAACATTCATAAAACTCTGGTCAAGACTATTTTGTCATTAATGCATCCACCAAAACCTCATTAAGACTAGAATATGTCCACCCTGGAGAAGGTTTTGAAGGGTGTATTCTCGAAGCTCTTCAAGATTGATTTACTGCAAAAGGTTGTATGACGAACGCATTGAGAACCATTTGAAAGCTACAACAAAAGTTATTTAGCAACAATAAAAACCCTTTCCGAGCCATTTTCCCTAGCCGCTTGCTAAATCCACTAGGAAAGCATAAATCAAGATAGAAAAGGATTTATAAATCCGATCTTATCAAAATAATTAAAATAGAAACTGATGGTATAAAAATCTTGTTGAATATTCAAATTTATTACAATAGTTCTCATTACGTGGCCTAGTTTTAAGTGCCTTATTAAATTTTATGTGAAATGTACGTGAAAACATCGAAAAAAATTCGCCCGCCTTCGTAGAACGTCGGTTGGACTAATTATTTTACATTGCAAAAAAAAAAAAAAAATTCTTCAGATCGAGGTAGGCCTTGCTAAATTTTCCAAAAATATAGTTATATCCAAGGAACTATAGATTGAAAATCAAAGATTGTAAAAAACAAGCAAACTAATTGTAACATGGCGGTGGCATAAAAGTTGATTTGCATGGGTCATTTGTGAAAAAGTTGTTTTGCTTTCAAGAAATCCTTAACAAATTCATAAGGTTTTTTAAAATGGCTTTTATGAAGAAAACTTGCAGCCTGAATTGTATTTATCTAAAGCCATTTTGCTTGATCCCAACCCGTTCAGATTTATGGCAGCATTTATGGAGGCAAAGTTGCCTGCAAACATTTAAACGTCAAAGTTTGTTTATCTTTCGATATTTAGTTGCGCTGTGCGATCCAGGGTTCTTCCAGGCACTTTTCTCCAGATGGGAGCAGTTACTCAGATAGTTTGCGATACTGTTTTGCAACATTTCATTTCGAACCGAAAACAGATCCCCTTCTTCCGGATGGTTACAGAATTGCGCCATCCAACGATCCAGGGATGTACGCTTGAATGAAATTTTCGAAGATTTGATTCTTTCGCCGAATAAAATCGCTGCTATGGATCGGAAACCAGCTAATCTCCGCTAACTAACAGTTTCAGTGGTTTGCTGTCGGTTGTTATTTCGATTGTTATTTATTCGCATCAAGATCTGGAGAAAGCTGGTATGTTTTTCAAATTTCGACAATGTTTTATGAATTCGAGGGCCCGCTCACTTTACTCTTCTCCACCAGATGGTCAGTCGTTGATGATGTCTAAAGAAGTAAATTTGGCTGAAATCGACTTGAAAATTTCATCCTACTTCGTCTATCCTTCGAGATTTCCTTGTCATAAATTTGGCTTTTATTATTTAACTATGAGGAACCATCTTTTAAGCTCAAGTTGTAAACAGAGTAATTGCGGAGTTTATGATGCACTTTAAAAAGCAACAATAAATGCTTTTTGCTCTAATGCAAAACCTAATGGTTTTATGGTTGCATTTATAATGATAGAACACGTTTATAAAGTATTTTATCAAGACATTAATAAACAATTGCTAATGACGTTTATACTTGAATTACAGAGCAGTTTTAAGGAGGGATTGAGAACATTTTTAAATTTATTTTTAAAACAAGACAGTTTTTGACTTTCTTCCCAGACTAAAAAAGGTTTTTAAAACAGCAAAAAGCTGAATTACTAAGCAGGAATGTTTTACACTTTGAAATGTTGTATTTATACTAAATGGTCTGTTCATTGCCGTCATAAAACCATCATAAATCAGAGTGGATGCCAAATGGTTACTGTTTTGTATACTTGGGGTCTTCCCTAGAACCTCTTCCTCTCATGTATTTTTTCTTCGATGCGTTGATGGCAAGTCCAATCCGCCTAGCTTCTGCCTTCAGTCTGATGTACGTTTCCGCCATCGTCTCAAAGTTCTGTGCCATGATTTCGATGTCATCGGCGAAGCCAAGAAGCTAGATGGACTTCCTGAAGACCGTGCAACTCGGATAGATCCCAGCTCTTCTTATCACACCTTCTATCGCGATGTTAAATAGCAGACACGAAAGTCCATCACCTTGCCGTAATCCCATTCGAGATTAATTGTTTTTTAAATGTGGATCCACTGAAACTTGTACAATGAGAATGGAATGTCATTCCCAACACCATTCAGTTGATTCATTGTGCAATTTTACTGGTTCTGATGAATCACGGAGTAGCAACCATTTGATATGAGCAGTCACTCTAAGCTAAGCGATCAATTCTGACGATTTGTTTGATCGTGTCCTTGCTCTCGGCCTGGGGTATCATCGTAAATTTTCCCTCGACTTCGGCGAATAGGTACCAACATTGTAAAATAGAACGATGACTTTAAATGCCACTACTGATCTACACTGCGACTGATCGATGTCTTTCCAATTTGGGAGACAATGACTTGTCCGCATTTGTCCATCTCTTGCCTAGTATCCTTCCAAACACTCAAATTCTTGATTATTGCAGGATGCACACCTTCAGATATGTATGCTAAAGAACGCATCCATAGTGATTCTTAAAATGGATGCATTTCGACCTCATCCAACCTGGCAAGCATCAATGATAACGTCCAATTCATTGGAATCTTTCCTACTCATTCTAGGTCAGGAGTGGAATTCATCACGTTTACATGCGAACCGACGAAGCTGATGCAATCGTACACCGATGCACTCGCGTCACGTGGCGTAACATTTCGCCACCGAAAGATTGGCTGTTTCCAAGAGCTCGCCCAAGAATTCCCATCGCACTCGCTCGTTGTAATCAACTGTCTAGGAATAGGTTCGGGTGCAATTCTGAACGATAGTCAAATTGAACCCAGTCGCGGACAGGTACGACGCGTCGAGGCACCATGGCTGTTTCATGTTTTCATCAACGATTCGGCGTATGTTATTCCGAATACCGGTAGCGTTACGATGGGCGGTACGAAGCAAGTGGGTGACTATGAACTCCAATCCAGGGAACGGAATGCAGATACGATAAATCGGGCTTGCTGCGGGTTGATACCTGCATTGGAACGGGCACCGATAAAGGGCAATTTTGTAGGATTGAGACCACTAAGGCAAGCCGTTCGATTGGAGGTGGAATGGTTTCAAACAGGTATGAGCAAACGCTAGAATTATTGAGCAGCAGAGGCGCAACTTTATGTTTTTGTTCATAACAGAACGTGGCGATCGTTTTCCGATGATACACAATTACGGTCACGGGGGCAGTGGCATCACACTTTCTTGGGGGTGCGCTGGAGAAGTTCTGAATCTGGTGCAGGAAGTTATCTGCGAGGACGGTCCGTCCAGGAGTAAATCAAAGCTGTAGGATGCTCGCTGCTTGTGTCAACATTGTAAAGATGTCTGCTTGATTGTGTTGCTGTAATATGAATAATACCGCCACAATTCAACTTGTTGTAACCCCCTGGAGATAGAGAAAATATAAATAGAAAATATTTGCAAGACTGAACATTTCCCTTTACAATTGAGAATAATAGTAGGTTCCAAGATAGTAGATTGAGGTGTGTGTGCTTTGTTCGGGAGGTATTACTACAGATAGGAGCAATACTTCGAGAGCGCACGATGGGAAGGATGCTGATAAGGATGGGATGGGAGATTATTTAAATTTGCACACCGAAGACGGCATAAATTTCAGTTCGCGTTCGGTTATCAATGAGACTAGTCGGACTGAGTTGTTCCATTATAAACACAAGTTCACACTGTAACCCTCAACGTTTTCCGGGTCGTCTAAGTAATGAAGCAGATCGTGGTTCTCGGAGCCGGAGTCAACGGACTAAGTGCTGCCGTTCAGTTGGCTGAATTTTACTATAATGTGGCCAAGGTGACGCTGATCTCGGAAGATATAACGCCCAACACCACCGGGGACGTTTCGGCCGGTCTATGGGGCCCTTACTACTGTGGCAAGACGCCAGACCACAAGATTGTGTAAGTATCGAATGGAAATGGGTCGCAGAGGGTAGTCACAATTAGCCCTTTTCCGCCCAGAGTGTTTTGGCATAATCAATTTTAAAAACCAATATCTCTGGAGTGCCTTGAGATATTGGCCTGAATTTTCTTCGGATAATAGAAGAACTAGTACATAGGGGAAATGGCTCTAATGTTGGCCTATGGATCTAATATTGGGCCCATCGCTAAAAATCTGCTATTTAGAAATTTTATCTAGATGAACGCGTCATTGGGGCGGTACTGATGGATGTTTTTGGTCACTATTAAAAATTTAGTCGATTGCTGAATTTATGTATGGGCCCAAATTAAGGGCATTTAGGCCGACATTACATCCATTTCCCCTACTATGTTATAATATTTTTACATAAATCGGTTGAAATTTCAGAAAAATAGGAGTAAGAGGGGCATAGTGAGCATCCCGTGCCCCAGCTTGGACTTCTGGCCGTTCGGAACAAATTTATTGGTTTTAGGATCAATATCATGATATTGAACCTACTACCAGTTGATTTGTTTCAAGCAGCTAGAGATTCAGGGCCAAACTGCGGGATGCTCACTATGCCCCACCTGTTCACTATGCCTCTCCTCCCCCTATAGCCGAGGATATAGCTCACAATGTCAAAAAAGGCATGGTACATTAGAGTAACCATGGGCGTTACTCGTTACTCGAAGAGTTAGTAACAGATTTGTGGGAAATTTAATATTTCACTAAATTCGCTTTGGCTTCATTGTGACCAGGAGAAGAATGACAAAATTCTAATTAAAATTTATGGAAGCACGGTGGTTTGTCATGCGAAGCAATGGGCAAATGGTGTGTAAAATTTCAGAGAACCTCTAAGAAGAATAATTCATTTAAGTATTCTGAGCACATCCCAGTTGTGCATATAGCTAGTGAAAGATTTCGTTTTTGGGCGACTGCTTGCTTTCGCCTTGATCTGTACCTAGCAAATTCATGTCGACTTGCTAAATTTCTTTGTTAAAGGAAAGGCTCCCCTACCATGTTCGGTGGGTGATGTTCTGTCGGATTCCAATCTAGCGCTTGCTTACAGAATTTGAAAAAAAAAAACTCAACATTGGTATTTCCCTTTACCAAGCAGACCATTATTCCATACTGGAGAAAACAACATCCTGTGAGCGGTGGGGCTGGGGGGATTTGTTAGTCTCTTCGTTGTTGCTAACTATATTATTATTTCGACCCCTGCGTTGCTTACGTTCTCGAAACGTGCTCAACTTTTTGACTCACCTCTGGTACTCTCTTCGGTCCCAAGCCCGAAACATAGGAAAATCCACGAACCCCTCATTTTATCTGTCAAACTTATAGCATTCCCCAACAAACAATTTGAGTTGATCAACAGCTGATTAAGCTATTTTTAGCTGAAGAAGCTTGTTTTTGCCTGAATAAGCTCTTATTCAACATTCAATGTATGTTGAGTCGTTTATTATTCAGTTCCAACCTGGATCGGGTATCAAGATTGGGTCTGCTTCTTTTCTGACAAACGTCAATTTGCTCGTTTTGTTTTAAAACCTAGCTCCGGTTGGTAACTCTAAGACCAGGCATCAAAATTATCTGATAAATGGTGATAATATCATCTATCAGATAGAGGCCTATCACAGTGATAGGTTTCTATCTGATAGATTCTCTCTCAGTCTATCATGATAGAACCCCTATCCCATCTTTGATACTATCATGATAGAAAAAATGATAGATAGACTCAATGATGGAAACAATATCATTTCCTTTAGCTATCATGATATATGGTCCATCTGATAGTTGAACTATCACATGATAGAGATAGGGATTCTTTCTGTATCAATGATAGTTCGAAATAATATATTTTATAATGGACAACGAACAATTCACCTCCCAAATGGTCAAAATAAAAAACATTCCAATCCGAATCAATATTTATATTTCGGACCGGGGACGAAGTGTAGATGCCGGAAATTGATTTCTGTCCTTACAGTATGGGTATATTAAGAACGATGATGACGTCTAAATACCGGAAAATCAATGTTCGCCATCATTTTTAAATCCAAGATGGTGACTTCCGGTTACGTTATAATTGTGAAATATTGTTGAATCAAATACCCTTCAATATGGGTATTTTCAGAATCGTGGTTACGTCTCGAATCCGGAAATCGATGTCCGACGCCATTTTGAAATCCAATATTATGTGGCGGTGGCGGCTCCTGGTTAAAATAAAATCTGGGAAACATTATCAAATACCCTTCAATATGGGTATTTTCGGAATCGTGGTTACGTGTTTCCCAGATTTTAGGATACCCAGAAGCCGCCATCTTGGATTTCAAAATGGCGTCGGACATCGATTTACGGTCTCTATACGTCACCACGATTCCGAAAATACCCATATTGAAGGGTATTTGATAATGTTTCCCAGATTTTATTATAACCAGAAGCCGCCATCTTGGATTTCAAAATGGCGTCGGATATCGATTTCCGGTCTCTATACGTCACCACGATTCCGAAAATATCCATATGTTTTGTGTAGTTTGTTGTACAAGTTTGGCAGATTCTTATCTGATACAAACCATTTTTCCCACTATGCCAGGTTTTTCGGTATGCATGATAATAGAAAATGATAGAGATGAAACAGTTTTCCAAAAATGTGATGGAGATACTATACGTCGTTTAATTGATAATGATAATATCACAAACGTTTTCTCAAAAGATAGGGATGGATAATAACTTCTCCATCATTGATAGGTTCTCTGCTGATAACATCACTCTCACTCCTATCAATGATAGGGATAATACCCTCTATGATCTATCTATCATTTTTTCTATCACTGATAGTATCATTGATAGAAGCAGTTGTGATAGGGATAGAGATAGCATGAGCATGAGCATGATTGACCGCCCACGGTTGCTAATCTGTTATTGCCAGACCAGCTGTAATTACACAGAGAACCAATAGACGATGCTTGGGACTAGCAATCATCCTCAATGTGTAAAAACTGGTGATCTCAAACTAGGCAATACCAGCGCCGGCCGCGCCCGAACACAGGTCAAGAAAGGAAGGGATAGGAATGTGTTGACGTGACACTCACTTTGATGGAAGCCGAGAACACCTTTGCACTTCCACGAGGAATCACTGGGATATTGGGTAGTAGGGTTGGGTTTACAGTTGTGATAGGGATAGAGATAGGTGATAAAGATAGGTGTGAAAATGATAATTGATAGGGATAATTTGGATGCCTGTCTAAGACTAGTAGGTCCCGAAGAAACGTGCTCAACTTTTTGGCTCAGCTCTGCTACTATCTTCGGTCTCAAGCTAATCGATTCACCCCTCGAAACATAGGAAAATCCACTAACCCCTCATTTTATCTGTCAAAATTTCGTAGCGAATCAAAACAAACATAGTGTAGTACTAGAATTTCAACTAGAATGGGGTTCGTTAATCGATTTGCTTGGGACCAATAGGCTAGTCAAGTAGTGAGCCAGCCGGCGCCGGGGGTGTAGTGGTAAGCGTGACTGCTTTCTAACACCCCAATGGGTCTGGGTTCAATCCCAGCCGAGGTCGGTGGGATTTTTCTGAGGCATAAAAATCTCTGGTCACGTCTTCCTTCGGAAGGGAAGTAAAGCCGTTGGTCCCGGCCCATGTGTGTTGAATAGGTGCGATATCCTACGCAGGTGTGGAAGCTGCCTTCCTGCACATTCGATTGCCGTCAATGGATGGCAGTCGATGTCCGTCGGTGATTGGCACTAGATTGCGGAACAGAGACCGACGTTAAATAAAGGAAAAAAGAAGAAGAAGAAGAAGAAGAAGTAATGAGCCAATTTAAAATCGATAGTTTCCACCGGTTGGTAGAAATTTACGGTAGCAGCACTGAAGGGAACGCTGTAGGCTCAAGGATGTACCGTTTAAAATCCGCACACACACAAAATTTATTCTCAAAATTCGAGTTTTTATCCGATTAGCAGCAAATTTTTTGGGAGTAAAAAGAAACAATTAATGTTAGTTTGGGCATCATTAATTTAATTTATTTCGCCTATATATATGAATGCACCAACCTTACATTCTTCACCACTTTAGGTCGTTTTAGAAGATGCTCCTTCATAATGGCCAAGAATTTTAATTCGGCGCACTTCCGGAGTGTTTGGAGGGTTCAGATCTTTCAGCACGAAATCGACATCATTTGCCTTATACCACTCTAGCACGTCCTTCGTGTAGTGGCATGATGCCAAATCTGGCCAGAAAATCGTAGGACCGCAGGAGAGGGAGAAGCCGCTTTTGGAGACACTCTTTCAAATGCACTTGTCCATTCAAGGTGCTTGCGGTAGTAAAGGTATACTCCGATTTCCGCAAGTACAAATCGCTTGCTAAATTAAGAACTTCTTGGCGAACTTCAACATCTTCTGTGTCCGGAGGTTCCCGGGAACATCACACTTATCCTTGGCAGTCACATACAGGTTTCCTGGAATCTGGTTGAAGTCCGCCTTCACATATGTCTCGTCAGCCATTACGCAGCAGTGTGGTTTCGTTAACTTCTGGTCGTACAACTTCCGGGCCCGGCTTTTTGCGACCGTATTCTGTTTCTCGTCACGGTTTGGGGACTTCTGAACCTTAAACGAACGAAGTCCAGCTCGCGTTTTGGTATTCTGCACGAAAGTCTTGCTCACATGCAACTTTTTAGCCACATCTTGTACTGAGACGTTCGGTTTCCGTTTTAAGGTCCCAACCACGCATTTGTGATCGTTATCTGGCGGCTTTTTTTTCCCGGATCTTCGCTTTTGATCAACAGTCAGACGTTCTTCGAACCGTTTTATTATACCAGACACCGTGGAATTCACGATTCCCAACTTTTTTTTTCCGATGGCACGATCCGGCAGGTCCTTATTCTCAAAGTACTCGTGCAGAACTTTTTCGCGAAGGCACTGTTCTTTCGTCACCATTTTGAAAACTTTTGCGCACAGGATGAAATCAACGCACAGAGTGTAAACAATACACATTAAAATATGTCTACGCAAAATTTCTATTAATTTTACCCAACGGATCAAAAGTTAGAGCAATTTGAGTATGTACGGATTTTAAACGGTACACCCTTTAATGCAGCGTATTTCAATCTATGGGTATGGTACACCCATAGAGGTAACTCTAAGTCCAGAAGGTCCCGAAGAAACGTGCTCAACTTTTTGGCTCAACTCTGGTACTCTCTTCAGTCCCAAGCTAATCGATGCACCCCTCGAAACATATGAAAATCCACGGATCCCTGATTTTATCTGTCAAACTTACATAGCGAATCAAAACAAACATAGTGTAGTACTAGAATTTCGACTAGAATGGGGTACTTTAATCGATGTACTTGGGACCGATAGGCTAGTCCAGTGCCACCTTTCTGCTCAATCTGGAAGAGGAATTGCTGAAGGTGATGATTCCGGCGAAGAAGCTCTCAGAGGTTTTCGATGTCGGAATAGATTATGCCAAGAAGGAGGTGCCCAAGCTAAAACGTTCGGTTTTGCAATCGGGTTGGAGTTCCGGGAAAATTCGATAGTAGTACCTGAACCAATGAAATTCGGTTTAAAATTGTAAGTTAATTAGGTTGAGTGGAAGCAATAAAAATTCCGTGTGATTGTGCCGTGAAAAGTAGTTCGGTATTGTTCTCAAACTCATTTGAACTTACATTTTTTTTATGTTATGTTACAAAAATCGAAAACCATTTATTCCATCTACTACAAAACTACTCTTGTACTTAATTCTAATTTAAACGGAAATCTCACTTCAAATTTACACACGTCGCATCGGTGGTAAGGCCACAGTTGTTACCCTTCACCGCCATCAAAACATATCCATCGTTGCCCCAGTAGATAAACCAGGTGTTCTTGATTAGCCAGTAATCTTCTCCTTTGAGTTTTCCTTATCCAACCGCCACCACTGCATGATCCAATCCATCCAAATTGTTCTTGCATTCCGGTTAGTAGTACACTCCATTTGCGTAGTAGTTGAAATACTTGTGACCCTCATCGATAGCAATCGACAGCCCTCGGAAGCCTACATTTCGAATTTAAATGTGAACCGAGAAGTGAATTGCTGGTCGGAGTTCCTCTAGTATATTCAATTAGAGTATGTTTTTGAAATACACAGTCAAACAGCACGTAGTGTTGTGAACAACTTCAATGACAGCTGTCCAGCAGTGCTCCCTCTTTATTTAATGAACAATGCAATGTCTACGAGATTGTGCCGAAGGTGTGCCGATGGATGTGCCATCTTGCCCTACATAAGGTCCGACAAACGTTTAAAAACATCCTCGATGTTATCCCTTAACTCTTAACTCTGATACGCAAAGGTTAATGGCTATACAGAAAAAAATTGTTGCATATTACATCCAAACTGCTGCAACCAGGTCAATCCATCGGTTGTGTAATATATCGTTATACGATGTACATCGCTTTTGCGGACAAAATTACATTCATTGATGTAATATTGTATCTGATTTTTGCAATTACATCATTATTTCATACATCAGCTTGAATTACATTGATCGATATTACATTTTTTTGCTGTTTATACAGTTAACTCTCCCTTACTCGATAAATATTAAAGAGATCATCGTATTTATGAGGTTTTAGGAAATTAATATGGGAAGCGTGGTCAAAGTAGCCTGGATTCATCAGGGTGTCGACTCAAAGTCGAAAAAAAATTTTCTTGACTTTCCTGACTTTCCAGCCGGTTTTCAGAAAAATTCCAGTCCTCAAAACTCCGTTATTTTAACCTAAGAAGCTACAATGTGATGTGCTTTATTATACCGTAGTGCAAATTAAGGCCTAGAGGGCTATAAATACATATTTTAATATAAGAATGAATAACTACTGCTCACAACTAGGCTCACTATTCATTACTAAGTAATAATATGAATATTTAATCAATGTCACCAAGCTCTCAATATGTGTTCATAATTCCACAGCCAAATAAAAATCAACCCAGAAACGATCCTTTCTCTTAACATATAAATTATTGTAAAATAACAGAGCAGTGATTATTCTTGTGTGACTTTGGCAACCGAACCTGAGGATGCACTGCTCATTCATAAGTCAGTAAGTTTTCGTACTTTCTGAAACTCCATATGACAACCGCAGACATGGCAAAATAATTCAAGTTTAATTATCATTAACATTTTATTCTCTCAGTGAGTTCACATTACAACGAGAAATTACAAGTTGAATATGTGTTTATGTTCGGCTTACTTTTAAAAACGTTTATCATTTGAGCAGAACAAATTTTCTCCTGCAAACTCTCGGCTTCTTTTTGAGCATCTTCCAATAACTTTCTTCGCTTATTCTCGAGATGCTTCGCTACTGCTTCTCTCTGGCGTTTCAACAATTGCGCTTTGTCGGAATCGAGAGCTTCTTTCATACGACGATCCTTGTCTACATGGAAAGCGAATGCGAATTTCGAACTCGCTGGATAAGTTCATTCTGTAGATTTGAAAACAAACTTCAAATCTCCGCGTACATCGTACGGGTTAGGCAAAAGGTGTGCGTTTGACTTTGTACTGTCGCATTAATGGCCCTTCGCTCATTTTCAACTTCTATTCAATTTTCATACTTCTGTACTCTAACGGAACTATCTGCCTACCCTCTTCTATAATCATTCTCTAGCTTATAAATTATCGCACTAAAGCTTCATATTAGATAGCATTTCCAACTAACTCCCAACATTTGTAAGTTTTCCAACCCGCCTGCATGAGTAACACCATCATAGATCTGACGTCGCGCTACGACTGAAGACCCAAACGAAATGTGAGCGGAAGCGGAACGGAAACGGCAAGTTTGACAATTGTCACAAATGACATCAAGATGTCTAACCGCAGTCGATTTGATTCTAACGAGTCGCGCCTTTTCCCATATCATTGCTTGCAAAATAATAACCCAATGCAGGTCAATTGAATATACCTAAATGAATTAGTTGCAATGATAGTTAGTATGAACAGTAATGACAGTATTGCATAGGAACGTGGATAGATCACCTTTTCGTGATACGTTACGGGATGTAAGATCTACCACCGATTGTTAGTTCTGACTTCTTCAAACTAGGGGAACAGGATTTTTCAGTAATCAAAGGAACACATCTTAGTCCTTGTTACTTGTTATGCCATGTTGATAGTGAAAAGACTCGGCTTTGTCACGGAGGATGATCTTGAAACAAGGAAAAAATGAGTTAGTTAGCCTTCAGCTATGTGATTCCTAATCTTCTATTCGTTGTTCTCTAGTGTGAAGTGTCGTTATCGATGTCATTGCTTAACTTTGTTGCCTTTGGAAGGTGCTCTCACTCTTCGAAGGGTATAAGTTTTTGAAATGCGGAACTGTTCGGTAAAAGTTTAAAAATCTGTGGAAAATTTATTAATGAGAAAATTTGTTCTGAACTTGAACATACTTAGTTCTGTTAACCCCATTTAATGATAGAAAATAAAATTGGTCGATTTCATTGATTCCTTACGGATAACGGTCATTTGAAATTTAACCGACTTTTTCAGTAATTCAAAAACCCTGTAAAAAAATACTGACTCCTGTAAAAAAATCTTAGTGTGAAGGCAAGAATGACAAAAGTATGTTCAGTTGATCATCGCTTCTTGAATCACTGAGAGTATCTTTTAAGTCTTCGTATTCTGATTCCACCGTTTCAGTGAACAATCTTGTCGTGGCTGTTTTCAACTCGCTTCAGTTATTAGCCACATCTTGCCAATAATCCGCCGATTGGCCACTTCCTTCTACATCGTGCCTTGCACTACTTTTGGTCCGCTAAATCACAACTGGCATTACTAGTGTACATATTTCAAAATGTAAAGATACAGACAAGCCCTAGGACCTGGTTGCAGTTAAGCAATCCTCAAGGTTATGTCAATGCCCAGGAATTTCACCGTGGTGGTCTTGTGGTGAAAAGTCGAGAAGTGCCTTCCATCAATCAAAACGTGATCGATTTTTGATTTATTTGGAGAATCTGCAGGCATGTGAAAAGCATTTCTATTAGACCTGGTGAACTTCGAGGACATATTCTGAACGCTTCAGGCGAGAGTCCGGGAAAATATGTGCTGGTTTAGTGGCAAGTTCGGGATGACTTTTGATAGGTGTTTCGACGTACCCAGTGTTAAAAGGGCGTTTGCGAGAGCTGCTTAAGTATGATTGACGCTCTTTTAACGTTATCAATCCAACGTCTGTTGTTACAAAATAGATACAAAATTGAATAAGCTATGCTTCAACACAATGTAATCAAAGGCTTATCAGAGGTAAAAAATGAGCACGATGCCCGAACATTGCCGGTACATCAAAAAATCAAGCGCCTATTTGACCTTTATTTATTCTCCATTCCAGGAAATGGTCAGCCGACACTCATGTATTCTTCCACCAGCTGTGGAAAAATGGTCTAGCGGCGCGGATAGGAATCAGTCTGCAACCCTGCACACGACTGACCACGGATCCGAAGGGCTATCCGGAACCATCCTGGAAGGATATCGTTTTCGGTTGCGTTAAACTTTCCCAGAAGGAGCTGGATCGGTTAAGCTATGAACACGGACGACCCTACACGGGGGGATACCACTTTGCGACCTTCACATGCCAACCGGTGGGACTGCTGCCGTATCTGTTCAATCGGTTCATCAACGTGGGAGGTAGATTCATGCAGGCAAAGGTGGACAACATCGACAGTATTTTGAGCAACAGGAACGTGGATTTGATTGTGAACTGCACCGGACTGGGATCGATGGCCATGTTGGGTGATAAAGAAATGTTGCCCATACGGGGACAAATTGCGAGGGTCTGTGCACCGTGGATATTCGAGGTCGTACTGGATGATAGCGACGATGGAAACTACGTGATTCCGAAGTGAGTGGCGTCCGTGGTGAACTTGCGTCGGAGTTATTTATTAACGACAATAATGTATCGATACTTTTGTAGTACTGAGACGGTGATATTGGGTGGGACCCATCAGATGAACGATTTCAACCGGAACGTCAGCAAAGAGGACAGTAAATTTATCTTCGACGGATGTGAACGGATGCTGCCGAGTCTGAAGAATGCTTCGTTGGTGAAAGAACAGGTCGATTTGCGACCTGGACGAAGCACAGTGCGGCTAGAACTGGAACACTACAAAAAAGGTAAGGAAAATTCCACTGTTTGTGTGACTGTTGTTGACTGACTGATAGTAGTTGATGCAAAGGGATTGCATTTGCACGAGACACCTCGTAGCAACGAGATGCATAGATTAGGCATGTAAACAGTAACGAGTGCAATGGGAGATAAGCGGTCTAGTGGGAAGGGGTGGCACAGGAAGGCGACGAGATGGGGTCACAGCAATGACCTCGATCCTCACGATTGAAAATACATATTGTTATTCTGGGCTATCAGTAGTGTTATGAAATCACTGGCTTTGCGGGGGGATCCGGGCTAGAATGTGAAGCTATTTATAAATCGTTGCATTCTCGGAAGAGATTTCTCAACACAGGCGAAGTATCTAACTAGCTCAATGTCATTCTTTCAGGTAACCAAACTGTGCCGATCATCCACAACTACGGTCACGGCGGATGTGGCGTAACGTTATTCTGGGGTTGCGGCGCAGAAGTCTTAGAGCTAAGTCAAAGTCTTGAATTGGACGTCGACCCGAAATCCAAACTGTAAAAAAACGGCAGTCCGAGAAGGAGTGTTCGGATTCATTCGACCAGCCCAGCTTTTGATTAGTGCGTTTCATACAAATACACATTTATATTCCGTGATAGTATAATATGTTTGTTAAGGTGAAATCTTAAAATATAATAGTTCGCATATCGCCATTATGAGGTGATATGCGCAACTGAAACTATCTATCATTTAAATCAAGATCATTGTCATCTTTCGTGGAAAGAAATCCTATTCACCAGAGAACGATTCCTATACTTACGATGCGAGATTGGAGATTCAGAACCGATCGAATTGTATGACGTCCTTCATCAGGAATCCACGCAGCTGCCAGATGGCGTCGATGACGGCTTCCGGTTTCTCGCGACCTTTCTTAGCGAGCCAATGGACCGGTAGACGACTGGCGTCCTGATTGGGAACCGTCTCCCGTGTTGCCGTCAGCGTTTTCTGCCACGGTGTAATGTACTGGGAGTTGTTCTGGAGGCCTTCTATGTAGCGAATGTACGCCTCCGAGTGGAGCACCCGTTGCGGCCGGGGTGGCACAGTGACGAACAGTGGCTCGGCCGGCGGTGCTGGAACGACTGCTGGGAGGGAGAAACCTCATGAGTTGATTTGAAAGGTGCCAGGTTTGGGCATGCATTGTCCATTTATGTGTGGCTAGTAGAATCAGGCATTATACATCTTTAACGTGCATGATCTAATTATACAACTAAATACAAAAACAATTATATACAGGGTGTCCACTCATTTTGCTAAATAAAATTCCCTTAGTTTTCAAGATTTTTCCAGAACTTCATCGGAAAATTTCCAAATTTTTTTTTATATCAGCTTGAAAATGTGCTGCAATAAATCAAATGCCATAAACGTGCTAACGTAACTTAAGTGCCATATGCAATTTAAATAGAACAGCATTTTAGTTAAAATAATTAAAAGTTGAACATTGGTTTAAAAATGTAGCAGAATCGGGAAATTATACCATTGATGACCATCAAAAATCAATAAGAAAACTACATTTATGAAAAATACACAATCAGATAAAACTGTACATTTATAGCTGAAATGATTGTAATTTGAGTACGTTATTACAGTACTACAGTACAGTAATTAATGTATTTATGAAATATAAATGCTTTAATTTTTAACAGAAATGCTGCTTTTTTCAGGTGTATCGTTTTGCAACAAAAGATCTATATAGGGGAAAGTGGAGCAGTTTGGCCACCTTAAGAAAATCATCATACAAAATTCAGTGAAAAATTCGAATGAGGTTTAACCAAATGGATAGTCTCAAGCCCTTTTTACATCATGAATACAAATTGAATATTAAAAGTAAACTTTTGAATCTTAGGGGCTGTTCATAAACTACGTAGACAATTTAGGGGGGGGAGGAGGGGGTTGACAATTATCTACGGCACATACAAATTTAAAAAAAATATTGTATAGGTAATTGTTTTACACAGATAGTTTTCAAGAATCACCAATGACGAAGAAATCTGCTAAATCTGGAAAAATTTGAAACTGGCCAGAAACCCAACCCAATGGAATCCCATGAATTTACCATTAAGGAATTCAAATAGAGCAAGAAACAGCTTCCAACATCACAAAATTGGTGAAAGCTATCCATTTTTTTTTATTAAAACACTCACACAGACACTCATACATACACACATACACATTTACTTTATTTTGACACATAAATATAACATAACCAATGCTATCGTAAATCTGCCAGCAACGTTTACCGAACTTATGGCCCTACCCTCCCCACTAAGAAACCTCCAAACTCCTGTGACACTTATGAGCGGTCGTAGAGTTCTCTGCATCTCCCTTAAGTAAGTGTGTACACAGCAAAAAAATGTGATATCGATCAATGTAATTCAAGCTGATGTAATAGCAAAAAGCAGATACAATATTACATCAATGGATGTAATTTTGCTCGCAAAATCGATGTACATCGTACAACGTTATATTACACAACCGATGGATTGACCTGATTGCAGCAGTTTGGATGTAAAGGGTGATACGGTCAAAATTTGGTCAAGGGAAAACGCGTGTAAATCGGTGAAATCGTTTATTTAAAAAATCAAATTAAATTTCTTTTTCAAGTTCAATTAGTATAAAATTCAGGAAAAATATTCAGTTAGGCTTCCGCTTTTCCAAATCCGAATTGCCGGGCCTTACGCTTGACCCCTGCCATCAGATTTTGTACAGCCACCTTGTCCACCTTCTTTTGCCGCAGAAAGCCAGTTTGCCTTGAACTGCTGCTCGCCCTTAGCAGTTTTTTTGGTCTTCTTTAGGTTCCGCTTGACAATAGCCCAGTATTTCTCAATTGGGCGGAGCTCTGGCGTGTTGGGAGGGTTCTTGTCCTTGGGAACCACCTGCACGTTGTTGGCGGCGTACCACTCCATGGCCTTTTTACCGTAATGGCAAGATGCCAAATGCGGCCAAAACAGTACGGAACAACCGTGTTTCTTCAGGAAAGGCAGCAGACGTTTATTCAAACACTCTTTCACGTAAATTTCTTGGTTGACAGTCCCGGAAGCTATGAAAATGCTGCTTTTCAAGCCACAGGTACAGATGGCTTGCCAAACCAGATATTTCTTTGCGAACTTTGACAGTTTCATGTGCTTGAAAACATCTGCTACCTTTCCCCTTCCTTTTGCCGTATAAAACTCCTGTCCCGGAAGCTGCTTGTAGTCGGCTTTGACGTAGGTTTCGTCGTCCATTACCACGCAGTCAAACTTCGTCAGCATCGTCGTGTACAGCCTCCGGGATCGCGCTTTGGCCGTCGTATTTTGTTTATCATCGCGATTTGGAGTCACTACCTTCTTGTAAGTCGATAGTCCGGCTCGTTTTTGGGCTCGATGCACGGTTGTAGACGATACACCCAGCTTATTTGCGGCATCTCGGAGAGAGAGGTTAGGGTTTCGCTTGAAACTACCGGCAACTCTCTTTGTCGTCTCAGCGGCTTCCGGTTTTCGATTTCCCCCCGATCCAGACTTCCTGGCTGTCGACAAACGTTCCCCAAACACTTTAATTACATTTGTAACGGTTGATTTGGCAACTTTTAGCGATTTTGCCAACTTTGCGTGCGAGTAGCTCGGATTTTCGCGACGCGCGAGCAAAATTTTGATACGCTGCTCTTCTTGCTTGGACGGCATTTTGACAACTGAAGAGTGAATTCCAAAATCAAAATAGGAGCAACATTCTACACACACACACCTTCAAAATGAGGGGTGTTCAGGTTTTTTAAATGCAAAATTGAAAGAAATACGTCAAGTTGATATTGACCAAATTTTGACCGTAATATTAATATTATTATTAATATTCAACAACTTTTTTTTTTCTGTGTAACTAAAAATCCTTCCCATCCCCAGCTGTTGCAAGGACGTGGCCAGGACAGTTCTCGATTATAAGAGATACTGCTACTTTCATCTAAGAGGCCGAGATCAATCCCATATCGATATCTCGGTCAATACGGTTACGGACGGAGTGGCAATACTCACATAAAATGGTCAAGGACTATGCTTATACCACTTCTATGCTTATACCACCTACGAATTTGTGCAACTTGCTTGATGCTAATGCTAAAATAAAATAAATTACCGTATGCGTGATAATGTTTGCACCATCGTACAAATAAGGTTCCCGTTTCACCTGTGCATACAATGCCTTGGTTTTCTTTGCATGCACGTAACCTATAGCTCATACCGTAGTAGGCTATGTGTTAAAGGAAAAATAGTATCCATGCGTGTAATTTTACTCAGTGTACTTTTTGAATTCTTAACCCTACAATAACTCCCAGCCCTACATTTTTTCTTGAATTTTTTTGTCATTCTGTGCCGGAAATACGGCAAACTAAAAAAGAAGAAAATTATTGTTTCGTGAAAAGCAAAACGATAAACACGCGTTTATAACCGTATAAATAAAAAAACATTAAAAATACAGTCCATTTGCGAACCTTTTTCACCGAACTATCCGACGGACATTGTTTGGTCCATCCGAGCCGGATGAATTAGCGTGAAAAAGTTGTTTTTGAGTTTCTCTTCTCGTGCGCGAAATAGAGAAATTGTGACGTGTTTTCGACGTATTCGGGATCACGATTTGACGATGCTTTGCGAAGCCGGAAAAGTGTTTGACATGTTTTCGATCGACACGATTGGAAATGCGATTTCCTTCCTGGTTGGACAGGAGAGCTGGCCAGGGTAGTGAGTGATTAGATCGGACTGCGGTCAGACGAAGTTGAATCCGTGTGCAAACGTTGCAGCGGATAGTGGTGTTTTAAGAGCAGCTGCGGCGGGTGTAGGATTTCCCCCGGCGGGTGTATGTGCTGTTGTCCGCAGCTGAACGTTTTTGTCGGGTGAAATTGTGCTGTTGGCAGTGGAGTATCGGCCAAGTGTGTAGCACGGAACGGAATACGAAACGGAAAAAAGTTTTGTTCGAGGAGGAGAAATTTTGTTTTTTCTCTCCTGTACGGGCTGAAGTGCAAACTTATTGTTTGCTGGTCCGGTCTCTAAAAGTGCGATTGTTTGAACTGAAGAAGTACGCTTCGTTCAAAAAAAAAAAAAAAAAAGCTTATAGTGGAATAAGAAAGAACACTTTGTGGAAAGTATCGAATTGTGAACATTGTTCGCTCGATTGTGAAGCTGTTTTCTTTGCCCGACCGTGCGCGTAGTGTTTTTGTTTCGTGGAAAATGGCCGAGACGAAGATAACATTAGACCGGTTGAACGATTTTAATTGGGCAACTTGGAAGTTCCGGATGGAGTTGTTGCTGCTCAAAGAAAATCTGTGGACAACGGTGATTGACGCGAAGCCGGAGGTGGTTACAGCAGCTTGGACGAGGAACAACGAAAAGGCTCGAGCGACGATCGGTTTGGCGCTAGAAGATGGTCAGCTGTGCCATGTTATGGGAGCTGCTAGTGCAAATGAGATGTGGGACAAGCTCAAAGGCTACCACGAGCGAGGGTCTCTGTCGAACAAGATCCATATACTGCGGAGATTGTGCTCGATGCGGCTGAAAGAAGATGGCAGTATGTCGGAGCATCTAGTCCAAGCGTCAGAGTTGGTTCACCGACTAGCCAGCATGGGAGAGCCGTTGAAGGAACATCTTGTTGTGGCGATTTTGTTGTCAAGTTTGCCGGAGACGTACAACCCGCTCGTTACTGCTCTTGAAGGCCGTCCAGAAGAAGACCTGAAGCTGGAGTACGTGAAAGGTAAGCTTCTAGATGAGTGGCGGAGAAGATGCGAGAACAAAGTGCATGAAAAGGCCAGTGAAATGGCGATGAAAACCACAATGCGATCGGAAGAACGGAGAAGTTTTGTACGGGTTTGTTACCATTGCAAGCAAGAAGGGCACTTGCGGCGAAATTGTCCTGTGTTGATGGCGGAGAGGCAGCAGAACCAAGCGAAGTCGATGGTGGTTAAGCAATCGGATGCCGGTAGCATTGGCAGTAGTCGAGGAGTGTGCTTCACGACGACGACTGCAAGTGATGTGTCGATTGACGGTCGTTGGATCATCGACACTGGCTGTACGAAGCACATGGCTGGTTCGACGGCGAGCTTCGACAGCATGACGTTTTGCGAAGA